CCAAACACTCAACAAATATAATAGAACAAGTACCGAATCTCCCTGATTTAGCTCCATGTGACTTTTACCTTTCTTCACACTGAAATATCCACTTCGGGGAACACGCTTCGACTCAATTGAAGACATCAAAACAAAATCGACGCGAAAGTTGAAGGCCATCCCGGATTTTTTTTTTTTCAAAATTATTTTATTTATTGGATCTGCTTTTCCTTAAAGTCTAACAATAAGTTATAAAATCTTAAATCTATTTAAAAACTAGACAGTCTCAAGCAAGTGATTGAGCTGTTTTGGTGATACGTCTCTCTTTAATACGCAGGCATATCTCTTCTTTTAAGTCGTATTGGTTCGCAGGAATGTACCAAAGCATTACCATAGGAATACCAAGGTCTTTATGGATATTTTCGTTGCGCATGTACCATGGCGAAGACGTGATTATTCTAAGCATTTTTCATTGGAATCTTTGTATTATATCAATATAAGTTGCACAGGTCGTTCTCCACAGTTGAATGTAATACATCCAAATCGGCTTTATGACCGCATTATATAAAAGCACWTTGTTGTCTAGGCTAAGTTTGGAGTTTTTATTTAAAAGCCAATTTAAATTTGCAGCTCTAATCTTCATACATGTTATTTTACTAGAGATGTGTTTTCTCGTGAGCCTTCTATCTAGGTGAATACCAAGATATGTTACTTCGTTCGCTTGAGGTACTAAAATATTGTTTATTTTTACTCCCGGGCACATTTTTGGTCTAAGCGAAAATGTAACATGATTACATTTCTGTACATTCACATTTGTACGCCAGTTCGCTAGCCATTCTTCAACAGAACTTAAATGCTCCGCTAATATTCTTGATGCTATAATGTGGCATTGGGAGAAAGCATCGCTACAAATTGATGATACTTTGAAGGCGATAAAAAAAATTTTGATAATGATTGGAAAAATTTTCGCTTTATTTATAAATTCCGGATACTTTCTTGACAGAATGTACATAAGGAAGCTCTTTTCGGTAAATTGAAGGTTTTATTTAGCATATTCATAATAAAAAGATTGAGATCAAATATGTACCGTTTTGCTCGATACCTTGTTGCCATTTTGAAGAATCGATCGATTTTTTTACAAGCTCCTCTTGAGGCAAACTTTCACCAACAAAATAATTCACCATGAACAGAAACAGGTCCGGACTATAAGGCGAAGGCATAAGAACTTCCCAACTAAGCTCCTGAAGCTTTCGGTGAATCACCATTGCTGTGTGGGGCCAGCATTGTCCATACCCAACACAATTATTCACTTATTAGCCAAAGCTGGACGTTTCTGGGCGATCGCTTCCTTTAGGCGGTGCAATCTGTGGCAGTACAAAATTCAGCCGTAAAAAGCAGCTCAATACCGCCAAACACATAAGTAAACCTTCCTGACCGCCAATCCTAGCTTGGCTAGCGTTTGCGCCGACTCACCACGATTCGACCACGACCATTCTCGCTTTACGTTATTATAAATGACCCACGTTTAATAACCAGTAACCATCCTCTTCAGAAATTAATCCTAACATATATTGCATATGACACCTAAGCATCGAGCTCGTTTTTGTTTTCGATCTCATTTAAAGGGATCGAAACGGTGTTTTGTGCAATGTCTGGCTCTTGGTATATATATGTAATAATATAATATGGTATATTTCTCCATCTTTGTCGCTTGCTCAAACAATGCAGAGTCGAGCAATGTATTTGTAATTTACATATCCCTCCTCAGTAAATTTGAACAGCTTTGATTAAAAGCCACCGCTACAGAGGCTCAATGTTTTATTGTTGCTGAAACAGTGTAGGACATCCCTTAAAGCTGTTGACTTGTTTGGTAAGAACTAAAGTTTATTCTGGAGCGTAGCAAATGTCCAATTTTTCGATCGTGAAGAGCTTTAAAAGTTTACCTACAACACCCAGGTTTTTTTGCGTCCAAATTAGAAGTTACGAAATTCGTGGTTTTATATCGAAAACGTGCAGTAATTAGTTATCGAGGGTTACCCCGTCAGAGTTTTCTAATCATAAATCGCTTTACATCGGAACATTGTGTGATGTTTACTGGTTTCACAAAGGCTTCGCCATTCACACTGAACCAAACTATGCAGTTTCAGTGACAAAAATTCTCTTCTTTGATCAAGAGATATTACTCATTGGCCAACCAAACCGACAGATTCGACTCCATTTGACATCTTTTTGTTGGATTTTTTGTATATTTGTGACGAAATCAATAGTATGGTTCAAGCACCTCAAAAATTGATTTTCAAACATTATGCAATGTAACCAAATCTGACAGTATTAAGATAACCGGGAAAATTTAATTTGTTGACTATTAATTAATAAACGGGGTTTTCCCTTTATCCTTTATTTATCACAAAATATTTCTCAAAATACATTTATAATGTGCGAAGGTTTCTCCTGTCCATGACGACCACAAAACAAATTCTTCGAAGAACTCTGCGAAAGGTACATTCACTGACTTCTGTACTTATGGCGATTTCGTTCCATTGTCAGCTTTAGAGATCTATCTTATTATTGGTCTAGCATCAGCGTTCGTTGATAATCGTGGACGTCTACCCACTTTCAGGTAAGGAACTACTTTGAATATTTTACTTTTAGCCGAACGGTTGGCTTTGAAACTTTAACTCAATAGCATTTTTACGGTCCGATAAGCTACTTTTTGCCAAACAAACAGTCTTTGCTTCGACTTTACCTTCGACCTAATACCAAATGTTCTTGCAAAGGAAAATCTATTAAAACAATCAAAAACACTTTTTGGTCTATTTGTGTGGCAGCTATATGCTATAGTGGTCCGCTCTGAACAGCTTCTTCGGAGTAACTTTCACTTACGTATGGGAATTGAAAACGTACAAAATACAGCTTGTACAAGAAGTGAAGCCGATCGATCTTCTTAAGCGACTTTTGGGCCGGTGGAATCATCGGTCAATATTTCATCAAAAATGATATGATGCCGGTGAGATTGAACCGTCAATGGCGAACGGTTTTCGAACCATGATAACCGACTATTTGATGTCTTAAAGCTCGTGATCTCGGCGACATTTAGTTTCACCAAGACGGCGCCACTTCCCACACAGCGCATCATTCAATGGATTTATTGAAAGAACACTTCGGTGAGCCGATAATTTCACGTTTTGGGCCGGTCGATTGGCGACCAAGATCGTAAGATACCATACCTTTTTCCTGCGGGGTAAGAGATCCACCGCCTGTTTTCCAACCCCAAGAAACCGCCCGCAAAATTTTAAGACAAAAAAAGGTTTACTGTTTCTAGGTAATTTTTATTAAAAGGTATATAATGATATAATTTTCTCAGCAATTTTGCTGAAAAAGTTTCTTGCGTCTGTCACTGTTGCTTAATTGTGGCAAATTTTGCTCTCTATTATAATTATAGTTTAATACATTATTATTTTTGTTTTAAGTTTTCATTCTTGTTGTTGTTAGGTATAGTGCTTAGTGTCTGGTGTGTTGAATAAATTTGTTTCTCTTCTCACACACATACATATTGGCCTTGTGTATGTGTATTTTGTAAAATTTTCTTTTACAAATTAGTACTAATATTGCTAAAATCTTTATCCGCATGGATAATTCTATGTATGTATGTATTAAGTATGTATAGTATAACGCTATTATGCTATAAATATTGCTATCATTTAGGTAGATACATAATATACTAATATTAGATATTATTTATTTAGGTAATGTCTGCAATTAATACCAAATTAGTAAGTAAATATTCGACGTAACGTTTGTCTGTACGTTCATGCACAGCAACAAGTTAGGTATAATATAAACATACATAAAAATCATTTATGCACTTGTAGAAGTAATACAATATTATCATAGCATTTAATAAGTTTCATAGCCAAGGAAATATCAGTCCAATGATTTAAGGTGCAAATTATAAGTGTTTATATTAAATAAAAAAGATTTCAATACAAATTTAATGGACAAAAAACATTACACAGAGACGAGTATGAAATTAAAAAAAAATCAATTTTTTTTTCTAGTTGTCTTTTTTGCTTCTCATGGCGAGTTTTTCAGTTCTGTAACGGTCTAACTGTGCTTTTAGGCGAACAGTTGTGCGCAAATAATCCACAAAACAACACAGTAACCTCTGTTGTCAAATTATGTAGTTTAAAAAATTATAAAAAAAAATTGAAATTTGAGTCTTAGTTAATTTTTCTAAACAGTGGCTTTTTAATTTTTAATTTCTTTGCATTTTTATTAATGCTTTTTCGTTTTTATTTTGATTAAAATCTGTGTGTTGTTTTTGCTTATTTTTGCATTACAAAATTAAAAAAAAAATAAAAATTTTACGAATTACTTATTTACAAATAAAAACTCACAACTTATTTACTACTTCTTTGTAAATATCGTGATTTCGCTGAGGCACTTTTGGAACAATTTCTATAAAATACAAGTGTGTCGCATCACGCAATTCGAGGAAGATTGCAATTACCGTTAAGTTTTATGGACAAGTATGGATGGAAACAAAACAAAATATCTCATTTTCATTTTTACTATACACATTACAAATATTGAACTAATTTCCTAATTATTTGCAATACAAAAATTTTCATAACAGTATTTGCAACAAAAACTTTTTACAACTTTATTTGGCTGCTAGTGTTGCCTTCGCATTTGCTTGGGGAAGCACTCAAATCATTTGCGGCTTTATTACGAAAATTTATTTTTGAAATGCTTTGTAAATGAAACTTTCGTAATTTTTTATTGATAAAGTAAATTTAACTGATTTTTCATTTTTCAGAAATAATGCCGTTAATGTATGGTTGCCATAGAGCTGCGTATCAAATAGCGCTTCAACGTCAATGTTTTGGAGCAAATTAAAAATTACAATTTGAATTCTCATAAAACAAATTTTACTTATTTTTTACCGTTATGTCTATAATAATGCCATTATATTAACGCTGAAGTACTAACTTGGTCTGCATAGCTCACAAAAATATCAATTCTTTTTTTTTTTGTACAAAAAATTTATTTTATTTTCACTTGTCGTTTGGCGAAGTTTGTTTAGGTTAAACTGCTTTAGATTTTAAAATATATACGCAATGCGAGGAAGCACTGAAGTGATGTGCCATAGCATGACGTTTGGGCACATGTCTAGGAGTTACTCATGCTTTCGGAGATCAGGGTTACTATGTTCTATGTCTGAGTTTGTGTGAGTGTGCTTGCATGCAATGTGTTTATGTGACCTTCTCCAATTAGTATATGTTCGTATGTACAATTATGCAAAATTAAGTACTCGCACGCACATTTTATTCGCATTGTTGTCGGTTCCAGTCGTCATACATGGAAGACGTGTAACATTTGTGTTAAAAAATATAAATATTTCGTTCGACCACCGCAATTAGGTGGCCGTTATCGTGAAGCCACTTGTCGGCGTGCTCCTCAAGTCGCCTTGGGTATCACTAAAATTATTATTGTCATGCTCGTTTAATTGCCGCGCAGTCGCAGCGGCGTGCGCGGCTCGTTTAGCAAAATTCAAAGTAACCTGAGAGTATGCCTCCGCCTCTGAGTCGGCATGCGCATAGGCGTTTTTGTGGCTACTATTACGTTTATAAAAATTTTCTTTGAAAATATCATCGTTGTCCATAACATCGTGCATGCGGTCGTCATCGTTGCCTAGCTGCTGCTGCTGTAGTTGTTGTTGTTCCTTCTGCATCGTCAACTCATCCTCCATTATTGCGGCGGCGGCGGCGCCCCTGTAGGATGTTGTCAGACAGTCAACGCTATGCGAGCTATGTATGTTTGTTGGAGCTGACGCTGACGCTGGCTGTGCTGCCACTGCTGGCGCTTGCGTTGCTGGCAGATTTGCGGTGTCCGCCGCCGAAGGGGAAGCGCAGACGTCGTTTTCGCTTCTTAATGGTGGCGCCGCCGTCGAGACTGGCGCTGTCGGCGCTGAGCAACAGTTGGTCCTCCATTTGGGTATCACTGTGTGCCGACGCAGCAGCTGGCGCAGATGTGGTGGTGGTGGTGGTGGCGCCGACGGCGGTGCCGAGGCTGATATTATCGCTCCCATGCTGTGGTGTCTGCCCCCCGCACAGCGATTGCAGGCTAAGCGAGGTGGGTAATTGCTGGTATTGTGCGGGTATTGCGCCGACAGCGGGCGGCTTTCCAGCAATTGCTGTGTATTGGGGCTGCATGAACGACTCTTTATCTCCAGCGTGCTGCGCTGATTGTGGTTGCTGCTGCTGTTGCTGTCCGTGAGCGGCGGTTGGCTGCTTGTGCTGCACAGACTGCATTGACTGCCAAATAAGCATTTGAGGTTCGTGCTGCTGCTGTTGCTGTTGTTGATGGATTGGCAAGATGCGCTCATGGGATGACCAACGTCCGGGGGATTGTCCCTTGCCACTGCCGCTGCGTGAGTCTGCGCCGAGTGCACCAGGTGCGGATGGTGTTGAATGGACGGACGATGATGTGGACGATGTGGACTGTTGGCTAGTTGTGCTGTGCTGCTTGACCATCTTCTTGTTGGTTCCGCTAAGTTTTCCAACAATTCCACTTCCGCTGCCAATGAATTGTTGTCCCGTGGAAAGGCTGTTGTGGTTGTTGCTGTTGCTGCCATTAATGATGTTGGGTTTCGTGCTATGCTGTTGTTGCTGTCTATTAAGGAACGTGTAGATTTCCATTGGTACCAGATCCGTGCTTTGGGATCGCAAAAGTTGGCTGTGTTGCGAATGAGAAGGAGAAATACAAATCGAATGAAATCTTTTTTGATGAGTCTAATGAATTAGCCTTGCTGAGGGCAGTGAGTGAGTAAGTGAATGAGGCGGTGGTTAGTGACACGCAATGGCGAAGACACACACAAATACCAAGAATATTACCATATACTTTGTCCAATACATGCTAAATATATGTAGATTTGTACGAATATTTGTATGTATCCGTATGCATTTAATGTGGCTTGATTGAGTGAATGGCTTAATAATAATCGCGTTTCGTGGTACGAAATAAATAGTAAATATATTCATACAATAAAAATAGCTACAAGCTTAACTTAAGTCTACTTTTTAATCATTAACGATCTTAATAATAATTCTAAATAATTTATAAAAAGCTTGGGTGTTCAAAAGCTTTAAAGCAACTAAATAATGTAATGATTTTATATCTAAAGCTAATTACCTTAATGAAAGCTGCACTTAGGCGGGGCTTTAGGGGGTAGTATATAAATTGCATGTAAGAAAAAAACCGTATTTTTGTGATTTTTTTTAAAATAAATAAATAAAATATATTTACTTTAATAATTAGCGATATTGATCCCAGGAGGACCTCAAAAAAAAAGTGTCTGGCAAAGACACATAATAGTTTAAATAATCAAAATTATTGTGAAAAATGTTGTTTCTAAGATTCATTGTGACAAAAAAGTACCCGGAAATTGTAAATAAATCGCAAACTATATAACTATTATTCAATATTTATATGGTTCGCCTTCAAAGTAATCTCCACCATATGTAATATACTTAAGTCAAATATTTTTCCACTCCTTGAAACATTCATAAGCACTTTTTGAATGGCCTTCAGCTGCTTCAGCAAATTTTGTTTTGTCTCTTCGATTGACTGTAAACGGAACGTCAATTTCTGTTTGGGGTACAGGAAAAAATAGTATGGAGCCAAATCTGGCAAACACGGTGATTGAACGATAGTATTCATTGCGGTCACAATCGTACTCTTTTTGAAAAAAAAGCAGCGAGCGAGCGAGAACGCGTTTCATACCTAAAATAGCCACCAAGATCGTTCGAACGACTCATAAGAGATGTCAAGCTCTCTTTCTATCTCTTTATTACTTGCCTGTTAGATCACACTCATATTTGACATAGTAATTAAGGCCAGTCCTACGAACTTAGTAAAATACATTTTTTTGAAATACCCTTTACCAGAAAATTGAATTACAATTTCCGGGTATTTTTGGTCACAATGTATATATGTATGTATCTACAAAAGTCATGCGAAAATTTCCCGAATAAACACATTTCGTAGAAACTTTCCTCCTCGACTCCGAAAACTCACTTAAAGTTTTAAACTCTGAGCGTATTCATTATTCGAAACTGAATTCGATCGTGGTATCAAAAATAAAAAAAATCGAAGTTTCGGAGAATATTCTCAAATATATGTGCAGTCAACGTATACGCGAAAAAAATCAATGTTTTTAAACTTCCAAGTGTATAAAAGTCCTTAAAATACTAATAAAAATTAATTTGAAATACATACATATATAAATAATAGAACATAAAATAAAGTACATAATTCTAAAACGAAAATATTAGGGTTATTAGTGCTAGTAGAATAGTTTAAAATTTTAATTAAAATTATTGTTTTTTAATTAAAATCTAGACTTAATTAATTATTTTTGCTTTCTAATATTTATACAAATATTTTTCCCATTAACAAATAACCATATTTTTTTATTTAAGAAGTAGTTTTTATAAAAACTATTATTTTTTAGGGATGGATATTTTTTGAAAAGGTTTGTAAGATTTTGGTATGAGAATACTTAAATTGGTTTTATTTTTAAACTATATGATTGAATAATATACTCATAATGTATTTTTTCATTAAAAAAATCCTTTAATTTAAAATATGTGTTTTTTTAGTAAGCATTAGATATCCTTGAATAACCAGAAATGGGAAATGACTTTAAAATTAAATAAATTTAAAGTATAAAATAATTTAAAAAATGCTTTAAAACATAATTTTTCACTAATCGTTATAAACTGAAAAATATAAAAAATTTAATGTTAACTAAAATACTACATATTTACCGAGTACCTAAACTTTTAGACATTTAATCATCTATGAGGTGAGTTAGTATCGATTTTTATTATTAACTCTTTGCCCTCAACTTTGTTATATATGCATATAATATGATTTATAGGTAATGAACAATTTTGTTCCAACAATCTTTTTATAAGATCTTTAATATTCTTCTGGACTGTTGGGATTGTTCAGTGAAGCGGAGCGTTTATAAGTTTCCATTTAGAAGGTTTGAATATTTGATGTATGGATATTTGATCAGAATTATCCTATGAATTGATTTCTTAACTATTTAAGCTAAAAGTATTTTCTGTGGGTTACTGAATATTGTCAGTTTGTGCATTAAGGCATTTTTTGCATAACTGTACATGGTCCATGCAACCAAACCAATTCATGTGGGTAACACCCAACCCTAAGAGCTCTGGTAATAAAAAGAATCAATCCATTCCAAGGAATGAATCCTACGATCAATCGATCCTACTAATCTTTAAATTACTAATAGTCTCTCTGCTCTTTACTTGCGTTCAATCTGAATGTTATGCTGCATATGAGGATACTCTAAAAAGCTTTCAAAAGCTGCTGAACATTATGGGAAGTTTTTTTAATACAAATATATAACAAGTTGGTTGCCGCGGAAAATTAGTTCTAATAGCACGTTTTCATTATTTTTTTTTATAGATATCGGTCGATAATTTACTAAAACTTGGTAAAGCGCCTACATAGCACCAAGGGTTATATATAGTATTAACTATTAGAATTCCTCATACAAAGTACTATAATAATTAAATAAAGTACCTAAAATTCTCGATTATCCAGATCATAGTGTCTTAATAATATATTAATATCCTGGTATTCATTGCCTAGAATTAACTTAATTCGAAAACATGTTGATTGATGTACGAGTGTGTAAGTATGTGTGCAGAAGTGTCTGGATGCCAGTAACGGGTGTTCAAATGACATAACTGAGATGTTTAGATCTTTACATTATTTATAAAAAGTCGTTACAATTCACAAAATTGTTATTAACATTTCTAGAATGGAATTTAAACATAAATCAATATTTTTTGGGGGGTACTCAGTGAAGAATTATAACTACAAGAACACCGAAGTTCATGTAGAAGATTTTGTTTTTTGTATTCTGAAATTGTAAAACCAAAGAAAAGAATCAAGGTTAACAAGAAAACGGTAAATATTGACTATGTAATTTGAGGGTTTGGATTTGCTTTCTGTATATACATATATATGTATAAACACTGTGCGAAGCAGGAGAAAGGGGCGCAACTGCATCAATTGAACCGAGTCGTATTAAACTGTTAAGAGGACAGAAGGTGTTGCATATTGATAATTGCCAACGAAATTAGTTAGATAATTAAGCGTTTAATAGGAAAGCGCAAGAGAGTAACATTCAAGTGCTGATTATATTCTAAAGAGGAAGTGCATTTGGCAGGGCACATTGGCTTCGGGTTGTTAGCTGCACTTAAAAGCGCATTTAATTGGTGAATTGGTTTGAAATTTGGCTCTTTTCCATTGGACTTGTTCAACAAAGAAGCGAACGCAACAAACCTCTGTGCAGACTTGCGAGGTGGTGGAAGTGGTGCACGGTTCACTGTGCCGACCGCTGCAAGATGTGGTGGCAATGGCGGCGGCGGCGGTGGTGGCGGTATTGGTGCTGTCTCTTATACACATCTAGATGTGTATAAGAGACAGCCTCTGTGCAGACTTGCGAGGTGGTGGAAGTGGTGCACGGTTCACTGTGCCGACCGCTGCAAGATGTGGTGGCAATGGCGGCGGCGGCGGTGGTGGCGGTATTGGTGTTGGTGGTGTAATTGTTGTTGCGGCTACCGTTGTTGATGGTGTCACCACTAAATTAGACGAATTATGCTTCTTCAAACGTGGTGGTACCGTAATGGAGATTTCTGATGAAGACGGACTATGACGACTGTCATCAACACCAGTGAGACTGAGATGAGGACACATACATACAGATATATACGTTGTAAAATATAATATATTTCATACTAAATGATAATGATATAAAAATTAAGAAATACACTCAATAATAAATTTGACACGGACTGGTAAAAAAAAAAAACAGCAGCGAAACACGTACTAACTGACATGTGAAGATCAAATATCACACGAACATACAAATTATTTTGTCAATCAAGCAAAAAATATTTATAGATTCGTTTGGTGCGTGCAGTTTTTATCGACCAGTCCGGATCAGTATAGACATGGTTGTAGTGCAGATTGCATATTTGTTGTGAGGATGACTTTTATGAAATTTTCTCCATACGAAAAATCAACAAATTGAAAAAATAAGCAAAATTAACAGTTATTATTAATATTATATAAATAAGCGATCATAAAGACAAATCGATAAATTTTCTGTAAACTGTAAGTGGAGCGATGTTTTATACAGTATATCATGAGCAAGCACAAGCTAAAAAAATTAAAGCTTAACAAAAAATAAAAATAAATGAAATATATAAAAAAATTATATATTAACAAAGTATATAAAAAACATAAAATATATAAATATAATATTTAACTAATGACAACAACGTCGGAGTCAGCCCATAAAGGCTATTTATTGACTGTGCAATATACGTATTCGTTTGGGTCGATAAGTTTATTGTGTTTGGATACTCTATTTTTGCATATATTTAAAAATTAAATCTCAAATCGTATTGACAGAGCATCTCATGTAATACTAGCTAAGTTAAACTGTCCAATTTACGCGTTATTTTCATAAATAGCGGATGCAGTAAGTAGGACCGACGAGAGGGATGATACTCACGGACCGGAATTTTCGAAGAGGCCATTTCCACAACGGTCGGGTCTATGTAACCGAAACGGATCCCGATTTTTTATCCGGTCAAGAACTGTTAACTCGGCAGAGTTCTGCGCTACTA